GTAGGAGTAGAAGTAGTAGTAGGTGTTGTACAACAAAGTAATATACAATAGAGTAAGATACATCGTAATTGAATTAGCCATTTACGTTCTATATCGTTGTAGTCGTGAAAGATGAAGTTCAGCCATCTTTTACAACAGGCTTTACAGTCGGAAATGCTAGTTTAAGACTGTGTTTTACAACACTGTACAATCGCTAACAACCACGTTTACGCAATTGTAGAATGGCCTTAAGACGTACTCATGTTTGTAAGAAAGTAAGGAAAATAGATCGTTATCGTTTCTTAGGAACTTTTTATCTATTTGTTAGTCTGTTTCTGTTTTTAAAGGCACAAATGTATTTTGATCTCGTATGAAAGTCAGACTTGGTGAGAGATCCCGTTGCACCTTGTAACTCTAGGATTCCTGTTTGCATCTATTTTACGTGAAATCCGAATGGCTCCAGCTGCACGGGGATCTCGTAAACGGAAGTCAGCTTTGAGCCACAATCCAACGAACCCGCGCCTCTTCCTCCCGTTCTCCTCCTCCTTCTCCACCTCCTCGTCGTCGAGGAGGAGTTATTTCTGACGCTCGCGCCCCGCGGATCGCTCGATCGCTGTAACACTAACCGCGGATGCACCCTGACATTTTCGCAACGCGAGGAATGTTTTCCGTGCCACTCGATGTCAGGAATTTACGGCCGCGCCGTAGATTTGTGGAGCCGAACCCGACGGTCCGTCTCCCAGTCCTGTCTCGTCCTCGTTGCTGAAACGCACGTGAGGACATCGCGGCAGGATGACGTGTCCCGTAGAAGCAACGTGACCAAGGTCTGCCCCGTTTCCTTTTTTCGGGTATGCCGTCACGGTATGACATCAGCAGGGCGAAAAAGCGCGCTTGCGATGCAAGATGGATTTGCGGTTTTCACACATCCGTTATTCCCCCCGTGGATCACGTCGGCGTTGCTCGAATCGCCAATGTGAAAATGAGACCTGCTGCGGTAAACGTGGGGCTTTCCTGTTTCGCAATCCGATGAGTCGCTGCATTTCCACGCTGCGACTTGCGACAGAAAAGATTCGACTGGCTGACTCCGGCGTGCAAATGCGTACCGGAACTGTCGATCGAACTTTTCGTTCAGCTGGCGAACTCGTTAAATTCAAGATGGACTTATTTTTGACAAAATCATCACACAGCACGTTTCTCTTTTTCAATTAAGAATGTCCTTTAATAACATCTTTACGTAATCCCAGCTATCGACTTAATAGAGAACGAGAGGAAAGTCTGGAGAAGGAAAGATTGTTTCGTAAGATTCGTGATTTGAATGCAATTTTGCCATTTCCTACGAAGGCGTATTTCCAAGTAATAAACTTACTCGGGGAAACGAGGTACGTAAGACAAATTACAGGGCTGGGTTAAAAATGTTAGCGAGACCATCGGTGGCAAACCACACCCTGATGTATTTCGTGTACCCGATCAATTTAAATCATTGTGCCGTTCCTTCGATCAATGTCCTCAATCTCGCCTTTCAATTAAGGTTGTCAATGTTTCGACATTCTACTTCGTATGCTTTAACGAACATTTTGAAGCTGTAATTACCTGCCAAAATGAACGTTACAATAATTCTGTATAGAAATAGAAGGCCGATTCTGACTGATAAGAATTTAAAAGAGAAAAAGGATTTAGGCATTTTAATTTTAGAATCAATCATACAATTTCGCGTACGTTTATCAAAAATATGGAATTTCCTCCACATGTTGAAAGAAACTATGCGTAATAACGTGTACAGATAAAAATTAATGATATGTAATTCTTAAACGACCTGGCCAGTGTTTTTATTTAAAAAACACTACAACGTTTCGGTCCCAGATTTGCACCCTTTTCAAGTAATCTGTTCACACAATTATTAATGATTTTATATCGTTTGTTCGGCCAATATCAACATACACATCTCTCTTGACACTTTTACTCGTGTTTAACAATTAACGGTGCAACTTCAATTGACTCTGCACTCTTCAACCAAAGGGTGCAATCATTTTTTACTAATATGGCAATGACTCTCTTGTACACAGCTTACCGACATAGTGATATTGGCCGAACAGACGATATGAGATCGTTAATAATTTTGTGAACAGATTAGGCTCCCAAATCTGGGACCGAAACGTAGTTTTAAATAAAAACATTGACCAGCGTAGGTCGTTAAAAAATTGCATACCGTCGGTTTTAAACTACTGGCGATATTGAATCTATTTGTGAGATAAAAGTACTTAAATATGCAGCGTAATGAATAACGAATTATTTTACGAATTGCCGACGCGTGATCTTTTTCGAAAAATAAAGTAGGTGGCCACATTGCGAGTGACATACATACACGCACCGCGAAGTGAATATAAACTATGAACGCAATGTTCCGCGACATTAGGCCGACTGAAAGAGTGCGTGGGTGCCTCTGGAGCTACGTGGATTGAGCAATGGGACACCGTGGCGCCTAGTCACATGTATAGACCAAGTCTCTGCTAAGGGAGTGCTGGATGGAATCGCGAGGGTTGAAATCTAACTAGGGCGCGGGGTGGTACCGGCATGCCATTAGTCGGCCTCTAGATTCATGGACATCTCCCCCGCATAATCTCTACGGATCTTTCGTACATTTATTTTCCTGAGATAAAATGTTCAAGTAAATATAGTCTTTTAATATAAAAAGAACAATGTATCTGCGTACAATATTCAAGACTTTTACGTGGATGCCTGAAGATCGTGGACAATTATTATCATCGTCAATTTGTATAATTGGAATTGGAGGAAAGTCCTCTATTATGAGACATGGCAAGTTTTCAACACCCCAATTCAATCACAAATCTTTCGTCGCAACGACTATACGATCTTACAATGAATTTTCCACTAAACAGATTTTGCTCCAAGGGCAATAAATTCATGGTGGAATCAACTCTGACGATGCCTATTAATTAATTTCACAGAAACCCCGCTATTAGAATTCTATCTCGTAACAGGGGACTTTCCTCTATATTCAACGTATTTATTCGACTTTTTGCTATGTTGCCTTTATCTATTTATTGATCAAGAATCTCCTACACAATACCTTTTGTCAGTTCAGTCTTGTTGTTGTGTTTAACAATGATTTGAAAACTTATTTACTTTAAATTTAATCGAAATAATTTAATGCAAGCTAATACGATTCGCGTACGTACATTTTACATAGTATAAAGCGTCCACTAATCGTTAAAGTTGCAACGGCTCGCGTCGACGATTCCAATCACGACGAGCGACGATTTAACGATCTTAATTCGTAATTACCGGATGCTTCTTGCCGTTTACTCGACTCGACTGAGCACCGACAGTCAGGTTCGACCCATTTCTTCCACGTGCACAGGGTGTGGTTACATCAGTTCAAATCGAACAGCGTGTACAATGCCCTGGTGTGGAAATGTCGTGCTCTGTGAAAAGAAAAAAAAGAGACAAACTGATAGCAAACACGCGATGGGTTCTCCTCGACCGGTTTGGTCGCGATTTCCGTTTCTCGTTGCCGGCTGGAAGTCGGCGAAATAGCGTTGTTGAAAAAGGGCCGATCCCGAGGAGAGTACACTGTTGGAAAGCTGTGCATGCTTGTACCTCGCACTTACGCCCCGTCCCTCGAAATCAAGCTCGCGCGATTGCACCGCAAATTTAATTTCGACCGCCGCATCCCTCTTGGCTTTCGGACACGATGGTCTGCGGTTTCGATCGACCGCCCGATCGCCATCGAACGAGTTACGGGCCGACCCGGGCCGACCACTGGTATTCGCGGTCCAGCGAATTAACGGTTTCGGCGATCGAACCGTCGCTTCTCGCGAAAGCACGATTGGTTTCGCATTGATGCTCCTGATACCTTCCCTGAGCAGCCACACGAATGTCTATCGTCATCGACGTAATTCCATAGGAAATAGAGGCTTTATTGATTTTATTCGATAAGCGAGCAAGCGGTACTTTTTCCGGGATTGAATTTCATCGACTCCCGATTATTCTTGATGTATTTTACAATTAAGAAGACATATCTCACTGAACAATTTAATAGAGGCTTAGTAAATTAGAAGTTGTTACTTTCTACGTTTGAAAGCCACCCAGAAAACATTTGTGTATGTACCACATCTGCTTGGAGTTTTCATGTATACACAATTTATAAAAATTGAAGTACTATTGCAACAGCATATTCTTGACACCAAATCAAGTCAGAAAGTCCTGTATCATTTTTCCTTACGATAAACAGTTATCGAGATATCGTATGTGAATATTGAAAAAGTTGCCAAGTTTTCTTTGAATATCTAAAAAATTATTAGACAAATAAAAAAACGTTTCAGACAAAAGTTGTTCCAATTAATTTAATAGAAGAAGATGATATAATAAAAAAATCAAGATTGCCTTCATGTAACGTTCAAACGACTATCCAAGGTCAAGCCAATAATACCATCTTATGTCCCCCTTGAAACCATGTAACTTTTGTCTCACACATTTGTTTCTAAAATGCATAGTTTTTTGAAAAATTTTGGGGTTTCCATACTTTTTCCTCATCCTGTATAATAAAAGGCGGGGAATATTACTTCCAATATAAATACGATTATTACTATTACACATAGTTATTCGAAATTTTACTTGCGCTTGTTATTGCAATATTTATAGTACACCTTATACCGAATTAAAAGCTCGTTTCGGTTTATGACAACCATATCATATGTTGCACGGACCAATATTGCGTCTATGAGAGCTATAATACATTGTTAGGTCAACCATAACTTACGTAATTGGAAGAATTATAAAAATGTGGCTGGCTCTTAAAATGACTATAAATTATAGTGAGATTGTAACTGCGACCACTTTTTTTTCTGTCGGTGTGCACGAGCTAGCCACTTGCGTGCAAAAACACAGACGTGCGAGCAAAACTCAGGCAAATCTCGTGCAAGTTTACACGCATAAGACAAGCAGCGCGCAAGAATTGTTATCTGGGCACTGAGATCATACCGTATCTTCTTTAATTACAGGCCTGTGCAAGCCGACTAAGAGTATAGAGGAACAGGATTACGAGGATGATACTCCTGTCGACGAAGAGGATGAGGACGACGAGGACGAAGAGACTGACAATACCGGTACCGCCGAGGCGCCTCCGCAAATCTTATCACAGCCAATGAGCATTCAAGTAGAAGCAGGAAGCACCGTCAAACTGCCTTGTCAAGTGATCCACACAGGTTCGTAGAACAGCGGCGGTTCCTTTTACTTGTCGAGCCTTAAAGAAATGCTACAATTTTAACTTGGGTCCTTTAAGATATAAAATCAATTAGAAATTAAAGAGGCCGTTTAGGACCGGGCCAGTTAAATTAAATTAACAAGTGAATTAATTCACTTATTAATTTAATTTAACTGGCTACTTACACCTATGCCCGGTCCTAAACGGCCTCTTTAATTTCTAATTGATTTTATATCTTAAAGAAATGTCTGTCTTCCCAAAACTTATCTTCTAATTTCTATTCAAAGTTGCTCAGTATTTGGTCGGGCCTTTCTATGGCGGGGAAAATATTTCGTTAGTGAGAGAACAAGTGAAATAATTAAGGAACTTGAGTCAATCCCCGTGCACAATCATCTCCCGCTCATCGCGGACTATTTCAGAAAATTACGTGGTCGCGTGGCTGAAGGACGACAAGTATCTGTACGTCGAGACGCAGCCGCACACGGAAAACAAGAGGATTGTACGATTGCCGAATAACACCCTGGTGATCTACAACGCGTCGGTCGAGGACACCTCCGACGAGTACAAATGCAGCATCCTGCGAAAGCCCGACACCATAGATTTGAACTATCGTCTGCGGGTTTACGAAAGGCCGTACCAAGAATCTGCGACCCCGCCGCCCCAGCACTCGCACAAGGGGATCATACGCGTGATACCCTCGAAGAAAGTCGACGTGGCCCTGGGCCATGATCTCAGGCTCGCTTGCGAGACTGACATACAGCCACCGCCCGAGATCAAGTGGTTCATCGAGGTGAAACGTCGTTGAAAATATCACCGATAACTCTAATGCCGTCAATCTTATCGCGCGTCTTATCGCTGGCAAAGCGTCGCGATATTCATTATGTATAGACGCTAAACCTAGGCGTTTTAAGGAGGCAAGACTGATTTCGTCGTTTCCTTTGCTTTAGAATAAGAAGGTGGACGGTTACGATCCCGACGTGAGCCTGGACGGAAACTCCATCAGGATAAACCACGTGAACGAGACTCACAGCGGCCTGTACCAGTGCCTCGCCGAGGATGGTTCGAAAACACCGGCGATGGAGGCAATCACTGTCTTCGTGCACTGTGAGTCGATTGCTCATTCGCGTTTTGCCCGGCCGTCGAAGCCGTCCGTTCTGTATAAACGTATTGACGCGATTCGTTTTCGTGATAGACAAACCTAGGATCAAGGTGGAGAAAAACGTAGCCTACAGCGGCACGGGTATGGAATCGGAACTGGCGTGTATCGTGAGCGCCTATCCCGCGGCACGCGTAAGCTGGTATAAAGGCGACAAGCAAATTCCGAACAAGAAAGGTACGATGCATACCGAGATACCAATGAAGGGCAACAAGACCAAGCACATTTTGAAGATCTTCCATACTTCGACACGGGACTTTGGCGACTACAGGTGTAAGGCGGAGAATAATCTCGGTTACGATATTAAATCTGTTCTCTTAACAGGTATACAATTGCTATTACATAAAATAATATATATATAAATAGTACGATTTATAGATGTAAATATTGTTTTAAACAAATTATATAAAACGAATGTAAGATTGACATCCGTGTAAAATTAATATGCCGCAAGAGATTTGGTTTCACTTTCGTGAATCGCTAGAGAATAGCTTGGCAAAAAAATTTCACTCGCAAAACTGATTTTAGGAGTGCCCTCGCCAGCGTCGGTATATGGCGCTGAAATGATCGATGATGGAATTATTCTAAAGTGGCGACTGGAGAGTTATTCGCCGATCAATGAGTACAAGGTAAATTTGCGATGCTTACCAAGAAGACGCATTCTATTAGAATTTCTAAAGTAAAGTATACAATTAACGCTCGGCACAATGTTTCCACTTACAGTTACAGTATCGTCGCAAAGGCGATCCGAAATGGAACTTTGTCGATCTTGAAGTTAAAGACGGCAAGGGAAGTCAATTTGTCATAGAGTCTCCGATTCGAGAACTTCAGCGTGGGTCCTACGAGGCAATCCTAACGGCCAGAAATGCCATCGGATGGTCTCTAGACTCATCGCCGCATACATTTTCTAGTGGTGCGTACACTTTTATATATTTATGCTAATCAATGCTATATATTTGTAACTTATGCCTCTTTATGCACAGTATTGTACTGTAGATGAAAAATCATTATACAAAGATTTGATTAATCACATTGATTTATAATTTGATTATTAAATTAAGTCACACAGTTCTTTTCTTGTTTCCTCTCTTTTCTTTCGTTTCTTGTTTTTATTAAAGCTTTTTGTTTTCTGGTTTCTTTCTTAGATTATCCACCTGACTTGGCACTAAAGGGTACGAATTCAGTTTTTAACATTGTTTTATTTTCCTCTGAAATAGAACATTTGTCATTTTGAATAATCTCTTTCATTGTCAGTTCTTAATTTTCTCTTCACTTACAGAAGGAAATTCGGCAACTATTCGATCTTCCGGAATTCTTCTAACGTTGATCCTAGTCCTTTTATCTTGTGCCTTCACAAGTCTGTAACTCTTTACTTAAATTTAAAGTACGTAGGTAAGTACAATGATGTAAATCTATGAACGATAAAAGTTTATGGCGAACTTTTTCAAGTAACTTATTTATTTGTCACGCAGATAAATTGCTGCAGCCAAAGCAACACCTGCAAACGTTATGGTGGATTTATTAGTGTAGGAACACTTAGGGGAGACACAGCTCACGCATATATTCTCGATGCAAATTCCCCCTCACCTTCTTACCGGGATATATTTTACGTATTGTACATGTAATAAAATCTTTTCAAGTCTAGCGTTATAGAAGGCACATTAATATACAATATATTCTATGTAGGGAATATTCCGTGATGAATATTGGCATACAACTCGCCTAGGTGTTCCATTAAGACGCATTGTAAATGAAAAAGATGAGCATTTTAATTGTACTCCGTAAAATCACGAGTAATTATTAAGGGATATTGTACTTTAAAATATCTACATAATTTATATATCTTTATCATACACACATATACATGCACATATACGTACGTATGTACGTACATGTATACGTGTGTACGTGTACACATAATATAGTATTCACTATACATGCGTAAGCTCACAGAGACACACAATCATATTATTATAATTTATTTTTGTATGCTTAAGATTATTAGAAACGTGTTCAAAGAAGTCGCTTGGTGCCATGTACACGGGTCTACTACTTCCGAAAAATCATGTATAGAATCTGATCTGTTGTCCACAGTGCACACGTGGAAAGAGCATGTACCTAAAATAATGTAGTAGGAAGAGAAAGTAAATATTGTAGAAACGTACGCTGTTGCGATATAATATAACGTGTATAACCGAGTCGACGAGAGGCACAAAGTTGGAAGCACTCATACTGCAATTGTCACACAAGAATTATTCATTAACATTACGTCCACGTTCCCGTATGTTTGCTCCCAATGAAAGTGAATCTTTCTTTCTTTCTTTCTTTTTTATTTACTCCTACGTTTCTCGAATATGTATAATGTGACGCGCGAGTAATGAATGTGATTGGAGCGAGTATGCGAAAGAGTGACGTTCTATAGTGTTTTCCACAATAATTGCTAGCTTTTAGTGCCGATATGTTGTTATATTGATTTATAATTAATGTTATATGCAGTACTATAAGTAACCATAATTATATGAGAAACTGCCCAATTCAAAACGGTGTGCTTGTCGCAAATGTTACAACGTAATAATGCATAAAACAGCCATATCTCTTCTAAAGTATTCGGGACATTATTTACGCAACAATAAGCCTATGTATAATTTTACTATCCTTAAAGACAAAACATCCTGTTTTTTAAATAATCGTAAATGTGTACGTAATTATATATTATTGCATGGTTACTATAAACATTCGATTATTTTGTTTCATCGCCTTATAGACTATTGCAATAGCGATAAAATTTTTAATCACGTTTTTATAAAAGATATAAACAGGATTATTAGGAATCGCTATCAAAGCACGATTTCATATTGTACTTATTGTATCACGTTTATTTTGAAGATTCTTTATATCCATGATTTTACAAAATACGTAAGATTTATTTTTAGGAACGAAAATGGCTATGGGAAAGTTGCAACTAAAAATGAACATAGAAAAATTACATCTCTGTTCTCAGTCTGTTTGATTATTAATTATTGAAAGTTTTGTAAGTGTAAACAATTTAACGAAAACGAATTATTTATACAAATTAATTGACTTGAAATTGTAAAAACGCATGTATTTTGTACCTTTTCAGTTTTCGAAGAATTGTATTATATAATCCAAACGAACATAATTTTATGCAATTTTATCTTATACATATGTATAGATTTGAAAGTTTATTTTAAAACATGTCGACAATATCTATAAGAAAAATTGTTAGAGTGCTTATAAAATATATTAATACGCAACACACCTGATGTGCATATGAATATAGCTTCTTGTTGCCTTAATCAATGTAACATGTACAATCAAGAAAAACGAAAGAATGTTAATTCGTAAAATTATACTTGCAGATATACATAATAAACAAGGTAAATGAAAACGTACTGCGTTTTATTGTAAATGACTGGATACAATTCTTTGGGAAACAGTGTAAAAATTTATATAACTCGTTTCTAGATATACGCATATCTGCGGCACAATATCAAATGTTTAACTAGTTTTACATCTATAAGACAAAATAGATTTTGAATTAAATAAAATACGAATTATTTCATATTTGTACTTGGCTCGAGTCTCAATTACAATTTGAATAATTATGCACTTCAAATTTCAAAATCTTCCTCGGCAGCTGGCAATATTACAGTCGTTGCAATCAAAGGTTTCGGATTTGATTTCTTGCAGAGTAATATTTTGACTTTCCCTGATAGTTGACCCTTCAAGTTTGCACTAATAGCTAACGGTATAGGCACCGCACTTGGCAGCAAGGGTAAATCTATCACACGAGGATTGACATCAGTATCCTCGGCTCTACAGAGAATATATAATTCCGTTGGGGACAAACCTTCAGAAATATTTGTCACTATAACACGAATCATATAATTGGGGCCCAAACCGAGAACGTTTGTCTCCAATGTGATAGGATTCGGTCCTAATACTTGATTTTCGCCCAATTGCTCGGACGCTTGTTTAGCCGTTGACAAGCGTAAGCGGAGAAAGCCTTGCTGAAATGTATTATGTATTTTCTTCGCCTCGGCTCTCTCCCTTATTGTTTGATCGACAAACAATCGTGTTTTCTTCGGTATCGAGAACTTTGACGTGCTACTCGATGACGAACCCGATATCGAATTGTTTGTATTAAAGTCGGCAGTGCGCTTCAGGATTTTCATGCATAAACCACCGCCGACAGTGACCATAGCTATGGTCCGTTCCTCTTGTCCCATTCGTCCATACTGCATTTGTAAAAAAAAAAAAAAGATTATATATTTTGTATCGCTTTAATACATGTAAAGAATGGAATACCTTAAGAGCAGATACAGGCTCCATCATTTTCACCGTGTCTACGTGATGTTTTCCATCATAAATGCGAATTCCATAGCCTACTGTGCTTACAGCTAACAACGACAGTCCACTTTGCGGCACTGGTAAACTGGCTAGATCTAATATTATACCGGGAATATTGATCTGCCACAATTTTATCCCCTGTAAAAAGGTCGGTAAGAGATTTAATATAAAATTTCGTAATATGTATGTTAAAATATTCTTCTCAAGCGTACTCTTTTTGAAAGTCCCAATAGAGTACCGTCCATAATAGCTACTGCCGCTCCTTCAGAAGTGAGAACGGATATAGCCACTGCCGGCGCGGGCAACGTTTCCCAAAGTTTCACCGGACTTCCTCTCCTGATCGCGCCTATTTTTCCATCTCTTCCGGTAACTATTATGCGACCGTCACCCGTCCATAAGCCGCAACTGGCAAATGCCGCTGGTTGCCACTCCAGCTTCTGCTTATCCATAACTGTAAAAGCTCTGCATGGCAATGAAATAATATACGTGCACGATACGCCGGAAATATCTCATTAACGAATGCATTCCTAATCGTGCAAGAAAATACCTGGGGTCCAAGATAAGAACTTCGCCAGCCTCGGTTCCTAGTACAAGACAGCTACTAGCGGGATCGTTCCACGAGTCCCTGCGAATTATCGCGATTGCCGTCAAGGCGTTGGCTTTGACAAGCGGCACCCGTCTATATTGCTCTGCGAAACTCAGTCGTAAGTTATTGTCCAAAGAGAGAAACTTCAAAGTACGAGGAGAGAGAAACGCCGCGCCAAGTTCCTTCAGTAACAGCTCCAAATCGTCCGCGAGAGTCAGCACGTTTAATTCCTCATCCAGTCCGCATTTGTGCCAAATCTACGTCAAATGATTAAAACGCTATCTGTGTCCAGAATATAGACGTCACACATAAAATTGACTTAGGACGGTCCTGTTGTAGGAACACTATTATTCTGTATTCAACAAAGGGTATACACCTCTCGTTCCTTTGGATGAGCTTCGATGTGTGGTAGACAATATTTGAAAAAGGGTCTCATATTTTTGAAAATAAATACGCCAGCTCCGGCCCCTACAGCGACCACGGACGATCGAGGTTCGCCGTTTTCCGTATAAAACCCGACTATCCCACAGGGTGGATCTATCATGTTATGCTCGGTTATCTGATCGCCTCCTTTATACACTCGTATCTAAAAATGAGCAAGCAATGTATCGTAGGTGAGTAAAATTCAGAAAAGAGACTGTACAAATGTTTCTATGTCGCTCGCTGATTCTAATTTAATTCGACATAAATTTTTAAGATTTATAAAATCGTGTTGAATAACAAAATATCCACTTTAATTCGTAGAAAGATGCAATTGCTCTTTCACCCTTTTCGTGTTTTCTCTCTAAACCCTGATGGAAAAATTTTGCTGAAAACGCAATGAAATTTGCTGAAATTTGGTTGAAAATCTCTTGCAATTGACCCAATTTCATTATCATTTCAGCAATTTCTCATTAAACAATTTATTTTCAGTGAAATTCTGCAAATTTCATAATATACAACATTTCTAAAATTTTTTCACTAATTTTTAGTAATATTAATTAACTATCATCTAATTTCACAGTATTTCATTGAATTTCATAACGAAACTTATGATTTATTTTGAAATGGTTTCAACAAGTTTCCAATAACTTTCATTTCACTTTTCATCAATTTCATTACATATTTTCAGCAAAATTTTTCCATCAGGGTATCCCTGATAATATCAAAACAAATCATAAGTTTCGTTATGAAATTCAATGAAATACTGTGAAATTAGATGAAAGTTAATTAATATTACTAAAAATTCGTGAAAAAAATTTTGAAATGTATATTATGAAATTTGCAGAATTTCACTGAAAATAAATTTTTTAATGAAAAATTGCTGAAATAATAATGAAATTGGGTCAATTGCAAGAAATTTTCAACTAAATTTCAGCAAATTTCATTACGTTTTCAGCAAAATTTTTCCATCAGGGAATTCCTTATTTTCTTGTAGTGTTCTACTACGATACGATAAAACTGTTTACGTTATCGTATCATTTTCTTGCAGTACAGCGCGCTGTACCTTTGTCGAATCGCTTCCAACTGGTCCCAGATCAGCACAAATAAGTCTAGCGTCTCCATCGCCGCTTATATCCAGCATATCGAGCCCACCTGGCAGAGAAAATAAACCAGCACTTGGTTCCCAAAGTGCTTCCAACCAGCGGCTCATCCCAAGTCCTCCAAGAGATTTATGATCAGCTCTAAGAAAGAATTTATTCGATAAGGATGAAAATATAACGAGCAGATGTCGATACCTTTATTTACAACTGATTATCAGAATATTTCTTACCTTAAACCGTGCATGCTAAGCAAACTTCAACGATTTATCTTTGTATATAAATAGTGAACCATTTACAGCTTAATTACCGAATTAGTTTTCCCATTTATGTCTAATGTTATGTTAACTATATACATATTGCACATTTCAAACTGGGATATAGTTTTTTTAACTTTTTACATGTTTCATCAATTCTATAACCTGACACACTGATAATCACAGGACCATATGCGTTAGAAAATTACAATTACAGAATGACACGTGCTTTGTTTATGTGTTCGTCTCCATAGAAACCTTCAAGTTCAAATACCGCGAAGGTAGAAAATTCAAAACTCGCAGAGATACCAGCTGTCGTTTCTCTTCGCCCAGCAGGAATTTTAAAAAACTACGCACTTAGATTTCCTACCCTTTCTAACTGTTCCTAGGAAATTTGTAACCATCTTAATTGGTGCCAATATGGAAAGAGCGGAAAATATGAAATACATTATTAAAAGTTCACTTCCGTCTAGCTGTTTGTTCGGAAAAATTGAATACTTGTAAAAAAACTGTAGCACTTTTACAACTGTTTTATTTTGTTGAAACATTGTTCAAGTATACGGAACCAAGTTCATTTTTAAAGTAGAACGTATACGCACACAGAAGCCGTATCAAACTTCGTAATATGATAAAATAACATTTTATTGGAACAAAATGTATACTTTGCATATAAAATTACTTTATTGTATGAAAAATAACCGACAAATGTCTAATGTAAAATAATACATGTATAAATACACTCGCAGTGTCAATCTTCATATAATACTGATAATATTCCTGAATGAGTCTGTAATGAAAACATGTCGACAATGATCGAAATTCTAAATCCATGTAAGCAACATTATTTGTCACATTAGTTTTACATTCATATATGTCATATAACGTTTTCAAAAATTTATAACTAAACCTATGTAATGTATCCCCACACAGCAAAACAAGTTTCAGAAAGCTTTCCGAAAGATAACTTGGAAATTAATATTGATATGTAAAATTGAAATCATTCAGAAATATCTTTGAAACGTTTCATCAAAATCACATGTCATTGAAAGCTTTCCAAAAGATACCTTGGAAATTAATACTGAAATGTAACATTGAAATCATTCAGAAGTATTTCTGAAACGTTTTATCGAAATCATTTATGAACCTTCTCACTGAAATATTTCAGAAATATTACAAAACATTTCAGAGAAATATTTCGTACGTAATCTCTAAAACATGTTATTGAAAGCTATCCAACATATAACTTGGAAATTAATAGTGAAATGTAAGATAGAAATCATTCAGAAATATTTCTCTGAAATGTTTCTATTTTTCTATTTCTATAAATGTTTCTATTTCTCAGAAATATCACGAAACATTTCAGAGAAATATTTCGTACGTAATCTCTAAAACATATATTATTGAAAGCTATCCAACATATAACTTGGAAATTAATATTGAAATGTAATATAGAAATCATTCAGAAATATTTCTGAAGCATTTAAGAAATATTTCCGAAGCATTTAAGAGATATTTCTGAAGCATTTCAGAAATATTTCAGAAACATTTATGATATCTCATCTACGCGAACATTTCATGTATCTGAAACATGTTTGAAATATTTTTTTGAAAGGTTTCTTATTTCATTGACAGCTTTTTGAGAGCTTTCTGAAATATTTCGGTGCTGTGTGGGTTAGGAGGTTCGGAAGGTTTTCGCTGTTTCTTCCTCTTAAAATACCCATTTGTTACAATAACAAAATGAATGATCTTATTAGTCAAAGTTTTTTGCCCTCAGTAGCTATGACTTTTTCCCATTTTTCTGGCAAAAGTTGGATTCCGCGTCGACAGAACAGCTTGTTTTTTGAGTGGACAAAGTAGTATCGTTTGTACTCTCGAAATATGCAGCTAGAAGCCATCTAAATATGAGCGACGAAAGCTTTCCGAACCTCCTAATAAAAGAGAGGCTTTTTAAAATATACTTATTAGTTTAACATTTAATTCTCCATAGCCATAAACACGTATGCACAATTGAGAGCATTGATACTATTCAGTGCGCTCGCATTCAGTCTTCATCGTGATTCACTGTCTGTCATGTTTGCTCGTAAAATAAAATAGTTAAACTATGTCATTAATTATAATATATAAATAAAATATAACTATATAAACTATACAACTCTGTAAATATTATAAAGATACGGACTGCCAAATGTAAACATACCAAACGATATTAATACCCTTAATTGCACATATACGTACGTACATATATCTATACTACTAATTAGGAAGCCCTCTGTATGTCTGTGTAGGTGTGTAGGTGTTTCTGTGTGTGCACCTTACGTACATACATACGTATCTGTGTATACTGTAGATATATGTAACAAATGATAGAGCACATGTCTGAGTAATGACCTTAAAGCTATTTGAACACAGCCAACAGTCACATTAATTATATCAGGCCTGTGGTCGGTTTGCCCATTTCGGCCGACTTTGCTTATTTTGCTAGATGCTAGGCTGACTTCGCGAAATAAGCAAAATCGGCCGAAATGGGCAAACCGACCACAGGCCTGAATTATATGATATCACACCTATGCACAGAATGACATACAAATGATTATTTTAAGTATAGTTTAAAAAATACTCAATTAATGAGATTTCTGAAAAAAAACAACACACATAATCTATACTTAAATAATAATTATTTTAACGGAGCAATGTTGATAATGGAGATGGCGGCAATGACGGCGATGGAGGCCTCGCCGCAAGAGTTTCCAGCTCACTACAATGAAATTGACACACGGAGCTAGATGTGCTTAGAGTTGATTCCGAAAGCATTCCTCGTCCTTTATAAGTCTTCCTCGCTCGATTATTATCCTTGTCAGTTTCAATTACACCATCTTCGTATTTGTGATAACAAATTGATAATATTTTCAATCTGCAAAGAGCGCAAATTAAATCACTGATTAATATAATTTGTATCTTGCGACACTCGACTGCTTCATTCTAAAGTGGATTTTTTTTTATATAAACTTTGTATGATAAAAACTCATCACCTGGGATATTCGAACTGAGCAAAGCGTGAAGAAGGTCCTACAACTGCTAACATCGAGCATAGAAACAACGTCGCGTATATCCAGCTTACACCCATCACGAGTAATAAAAAGACACCGATTTGTATATATGCCAACACCTGAGAAGGTAACATTAAAGCGCCCGCAGCTCCGGTTGTAATTGCTGCCATAAGAGTAGGACCGCCCATCTGTTGCAACGCGGTCTTTACTCGGTCTATTTTCTTTTCAGACATGCATGCTTTGTAACTCACAGCGTAGTGTAAGCTGAAGTCTACAGCAAGACCTAGCAGAACAAAATATTCACAAATATTATTAATTTCACCAACAATTTAAATACGTCTTTGTTAACGTTATTTAAATAGCACTTGCCTATGGTTGTAGATATTGCAATACTTTCTAGAACGTTGAGTGTCCACCCAAGAAGAATAAGCATTGCAACTGTTACTATTATTACAGCACCAATAGCTACAATTGCATATAGGCTGATGAGAGGATTTAAGGTCACCATTGCTACTACTATCAGTGCCAAAGTTAGCGACACTGCCATTGCCGATATGGTTCCTTCGTATAATGTACGCTGAAGCTCATAAAATTCTAGATGGCTGATAAACCATCCACCTCGCATCCCCTTAGGCGCGGATCGTAATTGATTCTGCATCCAACTTTCAACCTATTAATTAAATTCGAGAATTAAACTTTGCTTCGAAGACTCAAATTTCTGCAAACGTGCACATGCAATACCGAGCAAACAGTACTTGCCTGGTGATAAAATGTATCCATAGTTGCAAACGAGAGGCTATATGAATGTGTGCTATCGTATTCGACAATAAGCGCTTTAATTTTAGGCGTTACTTTAATCGCGAGTGTATCGTTTGACGTCAACAATGGATCTTTGGCAAACTTTGGACCGGCAAAAAGTGGACCGTTCTGTGTCCACAAATTAGGCGTGCGATGTAACCTGACGCTAGCTTCAGCTGTACAGTGTTGCAGAACATCGGGCTCATATGGAAATGTACTACTATTACAACACGGCGCGTAATTGATCTGAGGATCAATAGGATCCTTACAATCCCTTTCCATCCACGAGTATAAAGATTCGATAAAGCAGTTAGACAACAAAGGTCCCAGGGTGCTGCGGTAAAAAGGTTGACTTCGTAAATTTCGGCAAAATCTATGAAGCCACAATTGAGCCTTTGGGTCAGAGATATTGAAAGTCTCGTCCCACTCTAGTGTGCCTTTTTTACTAGGATCGAGGTAATCACCATTGTCAACTGGTTTTATGCCCCAGACAAATCTTAGTGGTAGAACCGCATTATCTCCGCCAGTCTGCAACGAATCAAGTACATCATATCCATTCGTGATGCAAATATACGTCTAGACAATGTAGATAAGTGAAAGATAGGCACCATTTCAAATCGTTCAAACCAAAATCTCTGCGTGTATAGTAAATCATACTGTTCGAATGGATGTGTACGGTGGAACAGTTGAAAGTCCATATAATCCTTATAATCTGGCAGTTGCAAGCCTGGATAATGGAAGACGACGCTGCAACACGCTATTGACATGATCCCCAAACTCAGTAACCAGAACCACCTCAAACGAATCACTAATCCCGTGAGACAGGTGGTGAATCCTATTGTTACTTTATCCCCCAAGGATCGCAGGGGACGAATAATTCTTCTGGTAATAAAATTTACAGGCGATAGGGCAGATAATTTACAATGCTCCGACACGACCACGCACGCAGGTAACCACGTAGTCATCAAGAAGAAATTAGCGATAACAGTCATGCCTGAAAATAAACTAAACAAGATCCATCAGATATATATAAAAGTTAAGAACAATTAAAACACCCTGTATACTATAAAATTCGTACCTGAAGCAATTGATGGCAGTCACGTTACTAACAATAGATGCGAAAAAGGCTACCGCTGTGGTAAGAGATGTGACGAACATAGATGGAAAAGCGTGTTTGATTGTTTCCTGTACCAAGCGCACTAATCCGCCATCAGAAAGTTTCTGCTGTTTCTTCGATTCCCAGACTTTACAATATATAAATGCATCATCTGCTCCAATGCCTGTAAAAAGATTGTGTCGTAATAATATACTTGCAGCGTCTCTACACGGGTTTGTTTGTAATCATTTTGCGCTAGAATACCAACCTATAGCTACGACAATGGCCAACAAGTTCATAAAAGGAAAGAACCGAATACCCAAGACGAAAGTATATATCGCATATGAAATCCCAAGACTGAACAACACCGCGAAAATTGTCGCTAGAGTCAACACTATGGAGCCGGTGTACGCCCAGATACAAAATGTAACGAAGATGAAACCGGCGAGCACCAAGCTCGAGTCAGTTAATAACAGTCGATCGAACAGCGTACTTTTTAGGCCAAGTTGCATGCCCTGAACACGGAAGTTTCCGTATATTAGATCACCATTGTCTATCGCTTTGTAAAAATCTAAAGTCGCCGAGCTTGCCGCAATTGGAAGAAATAACATGGCAGAGTGCAACGTCAAATTTTGTTTGCTGTCGGGGTCCAACTTCTGCAACAATCCGATCGGTATTCGATATTAGAGAATGAACGTGTACAATTAATCGCGTGAAACAATGCCAAGACATATTCTTACAGAGCTTGGAATAAAATTAACGTCCAGCAGATAGTGTAGTAGATGGTAAGCTGCATTTCTCGTGTAGCAATCGACTGGCACGTCGTCCCTGCAACTCGGTTCTTCCTCACAGTTAGGCGACAACTTACGATTATGATAATAATACGCGCATTGGTGTAAGATTGTCTTCACTCTGCTCAGGTCGGTCTCTGTTACTCCCAAGCAAGAAGTACGATTGGACAAAAGTGCCACATAGTTAGCCGGCGACCAACTTCTACAACACTTGTTACTCTCCACGCCGTTGCGTTCGAGCTGCGTCTGACACAACGATGGGAAGTGAACGTTTCCGCGAAGCATACCGTCAATATGGCACATAGCTAATACACCCTCCATGGACCACAAGTCTTTATCTTGCGAGTCCACGGTGATCACGACACGAGAATACGCAGGCGACGGTAAGTTGCAGAAAAAATTATCGCTATCTAGATGATCTTGAGTCTTTTCGTCCACATTTGTACTATGGCTCTTTAATTCTATTATCTCCTTCCACGTATCTTTCTTCTCGTCGCTCGCTTCTACGTAGTCTGTGTTATTCGACACAGTTTGATGCTTCTTCCCCCTTCGTTTGTTCTTAGCCTTTGGCTTTTTTCTAAGAATACCCTGAGTAGGCAAACTATGATTCTGCATATTTGCATTGGACTGCAAGATAACAAAGTTTGTTGTTACATTTTGCGAATTATTCAGGTGCATTCTAATATACAGGGCGATTCAGAAGCTCACCGACAAACTTTGAGGAAAACGATAGGTCTCGCAGAAAGGATCCTTTTTTGCCCGACAATTGTACTAACCGTCACCTAGGACCCTCGCGCCTAAACGACGCGTCAGAGGACATGGGTTTTTTCCCCGAGAGCAGGGGAAAACGCTTTTATGCGTACCATCAGGCCGTCCTGGACGGTTATGCCTAGGACTCTCCCGCGAAGCGGGAAATACCGGCCATCCTCCGCACTATAAGCGAACCTCCCCCTGAACCGCCTGCGAAGGCATTCTTCAGGGAAGCTGAGGACACGGTCCTCTTTACGTCTGGGACCATTTAGAGATCTAGTGGGACCATCGCCGATTCTCAAATCAGTCGAATTAAACGAGCTGTACCGAGGAAGACCCGAAGTGGGGTCGAAACGTTTATATTAAAGAGAAATTTTGTTTGTAAATTGTGAGAACCGTTTGCCGTTCATTTGTGGTCTCGCACTGGCACTCTTTCCTCTCTACACAATTTCTTTTTGGGAGCCTCCGCAACATTTTGGAATATTCCGAGGACACGGGTTGCTCGACAAAAAACTAATCCTTCCTGCGAGACCTATTCCTCGAGGTTTGTCGGCGAGGTCCCGAATCACCCTGTATATTATTAAATCCAATTATTCATATAAACCAAATGTACTCTTGAGACAATTAAAAATAAAAAATATAGAATAGCTTCCTCGAAAGGAAAGATTTCATGGTGCACACCTGTTGAGCTAAATCGTGTAGATATTGACGATATTCGAAAGGATTATCAGTAAGCTCTCCCCTTGGTTTCGTAGTCTCCACTAAATGGCTCCACGCTGTCAGTCTCTGTGACAAAACGGTGCCCCTCGCCTCGAAGCCCTGAAAACAGTATAAATGTTTCGTGCTCGAGACGTCAACTCGCAGAACTCCTTGGACTTCTCCGACGAGTAGAGTCGTGGCTCTACGTACCATTTGAGGGTCCGAGAAGTCCGGAAACTCTTCGGTCGTGAGCGGAATAATTAGGCATATCGAGGAAAATATAAAAATGACCAGTACAATAACGTATGGATAATGAGCAATTGCACGAGGAAACAAGGGCGCTTCCATTTCTAGAAAGACTTCTTATTTCTGTGTATACGTATATTTTAAATATCTTAAATGCGTATCCTCGCACGTGCGATAAATGAAAAGTTATCGGAACACGCTTAATAAATCAGTCGTCATTTATCACTCGTTGGGGTTCGTTGAAAAACCCGCGATACTATTGAAATACTCTTCTACAACAAAGACAACTCTCTCTCCTGTCACATAATCATGCTCGTCTCATTCTATTCAAGTGCCTTCGCAGATGTCGAGTGCCCTGGGTCGAACTCGGCAATTTCCTTCACTTGTACCGCGGCTCACGCTCGGCGTGTAATTTTATTTATTATCTTCATTAGTTTCATAAAGGGGTAAACTTAGCGTCCGAATCGCGGAAACTGCCATACGAACGCGACGGATTTCAGCGTACGAGCACGACGGGTCGTCCGGATCCGCGAATCCCTCGTTTTACTACCGTGCTGTTATTCAAGTCGAAACGAGTGCGTCGTACTCGCGATTTCCTGTCAATCTTCCTGGCGGAGGAACCGCCGTTGCGCGTCTACTTCGAATAACAGCACGTGTTTACACTACACTGATGAATGGTACGATCCAAAGCTGCTGGACGAGACGCTTTTCTCTCGCGCACGCGCGGCAATCGAACGGCATCACGACTTGGAACTCTGCCCCACTCTGTCTGATGTTCTAGCTCTAGCAGACTTTATTCGGCGCGACGAGCCGCTATTTATTTTTAATCTTATGCATTTCTCGCAGCTCGTGCAGCGTTAAATTAACGAGCGAACATGTATTTTGAGCATCCCAATTAGTCCCAGTCTACAATAGAGATTTAAGCCCTA